GGTTTGGGGTTTGGGGCTAGGGTTTAGGGTTAGGGTTTAGGGGTTTATGTGGTTTTACCAAAAGTCCAAGGAAGCCTCTTCGACTGGCTGAAGGCGGTTCACAAGCTTAACGCTTGGACCCCAAACCCTAAACCCTAAACCCTAAACCCTAAACCCTAAGCCCTAAGCCCTAAACCCTAAACCCTAAACCCTAAACCCTAAACCCCAAACCCCAAACCCGAAACCCTAAACCCTAAACCCTAAACCCTAAACCCAAGCACCTTGCCAAAGCTCAACGTAGCCTTGGAACTCCAGTCGTAAACCGCAAGCGGTAAGTCAACCTACCCTGAACCCTAACGCAGGGAAGCCCTACTAAATCCTTTGAAAGCTTAAGTACGCTAAATGCATGGGTAAGGCAGAAGCCGTCTCACGGAGGTTTCTGGTAGGCTTCTGATAACTCTGAACCCTAAACCTAAACCCTAAACCCTAAACCCTAAACCCTAAACCCTAAACCCTAAACCCTAAACCCTAAACCCTAAACCCTAAACCCTAAACCCTAAACCCAAAACCGTGGTTCATGGTCTCGGGGTTTCGAAGCGCCCGCACGTTCCGTGAAGCGGCGGGAATTTACTTTCTTGTTTGGCTGCATGAGATTAAGACCTTCGGGGTTTTTGGCCAGCACCCGAGCCTTCTTAAACCCTAAACCCTATACCCTATAAATACCCTAAACCCCCCCCAACCCCCAAGGAACGGCCGAGAACTATGACAGATCCGGCGCCGACTCTTCCGAGAGGAGAGGTTCGCGCGGATCTGGCGGAGTTGGCGGCGGAAAGTGACCTCCGCGAGAGCCGAGCAAGTGCTGCTTCCAAATCGCTAGAGTAAACCCCTAAACCCTAAGCCCTGAATCCGAAACACCCTAAACCCGAAACCCTAAACCCTAAACCCTAAACCCTAAACAATGGCAAGCCTTTAGTTTTGCGGTCGCTTCTCCCAAAAACACCCTGGCAAAACTTCGGATCAAAGTTAGTGGCCTTGGCTCGATTTGGCAAGGGGCTTAGAGGGCTTAGTGTTTTGTTTAGGGTTTAGGGTTTAGGGTTTTTCCCGAAAGCATCGCGAAGGGTTCTTCCGTGCGGAGCCCTCTGACCCAACCACATAGAGTGAAGTGCAGAGAGTGAAGTGCATAGAGCGAAGTGCATAGAGCGAAGGGCATAGAGTGAAGCGCATAGAGTGAAGTGCATGGAGTGAAGAGCATAGAGTGAAGCGCATAGAGTGAAGTGCATAGAGTGAATTGCATAGAGTGAAGTGCATAGAGTGAAGCATAGAGTCAAGCGCATAGAGTGAAGTGCATAGAGTCAAGCATAGCATAGAGTCAAGTGCATAGAGTCAAGTGCATAGAGTGAAGTGCATAGAGTGAAGTACATAGAGTGAAGTGCATAGAGTGAATTGCATAGAGTGAATTGCATAGAGTGAAGTGCATAGAGTGAAGTGCATAGAGTGAATTGCATAGAGTGAAGTAGAAGTTAATAGAAATTACGAGATTTACGTAGAATATCGTAGACCTTCGTACCCAGTCCTAGATTTCTAAATTAAAACTAAATTAAAATTACTCTTTCTAAGGCGGCGGGCTGGGTTGACATCGCCAATCGGGATTGCAACCCTCTGCGGGTTTCGGCGTGGTCGCGGTGCTAAAACCATCGTTTTTTTACGTTTCTTGATTTGCGCGGACAACCCTCTGCGGGTTTCGGCGTGGTCGCGGTGCTAAAACCGTCGTTTTTTTACGTTTCTTTGTGTCCGCGGACAACCCTCTGCGGGTTTCACCGTGGTCGCGGTGCTAAAACCGTCGTTTTTTTTACGTTTCTTTGTGTCCGCGGACAGCCCTCTGCGGGTGATCGCCGGGTCGCGGTGCTAAAACCGTCGTTTTTGGTACTTTTTTTCGTGGCCGCAGACAACCCTCTGCGGGTTTCGGCGTTGGCACGGTGCCAAAACCGTGGTGTTTTTGCGTTTTTTGACATACAAACGTAACCCCTCTGCGGCTTTCGGCGTTGGCGCGGTGCCGAAACCCTCGTGTTTTTGCGTTTTTTGACATGCAAACGTAACCCCTCTGCGGGTTTTCGCGTGGTCGCGGTGCTAAAACCGTAGTGTTTTTGCGTTTTTTGCGTTTGTTTTTCGACTTGTGTAGTACAGACGTAGTACGCCGGGGACTTCCGTGGCTGGAAAATCGAGTTTTGTAGTACAAACGTAGTACGCAGGGGACGCCCGGAGCTTCCGTGGCTGGAAAGTCGACTTTTGTAGTACAAACGTAGTACGCCGCGGACACGCGGAGCTTCCGTAGCTGGAAAGTCGACTTTTGTAGTACAGACGTATAGTACGCCGGGGACGCCCGGAGCTTCCGTGGCTGGAAAGTCGACTTTTGTAGTACAAACGTAGTACGCCGCGCACACGCGGAGCTTCCGTAGCTGGAAAGTCGACTTTTGTAGCACAGACGTATAGTACGCCGGGGACGCCCGGAGCTTCCGTGGCTGGAAAGTCGACTTTTGTAGCACTCACGTAGTACGCCGCGCACACGCGGAGCTTCCGTGGCTGGAAAGTCGACTTTTTGTAGCACAGACGTATAGTACGCCGCGCAAATAGCATGGTAACGGACATCTGGGCGCTTGAAAACACCGCAAATAGCATGGTAACGGACATCTGGCCGCTTGAAAACACCGCAAATAGCATGGTAACGGACATCTGGGCGCTTGAAAACACCGCAAATAGCATGGTAACGGACATCTGGGCGCATGAAAACGCCGCAAATAGCATGGTAACGGACATCTGGGCGCTTGAAAACACTGCAAATAGCATGGTAACGGACATCTGGGCGCTTGAAAACACCGCAAATAGCATGGTAACGGACATCTGGGCGCTTGAAAACACTGCAAATAGCATGGTAACGGACATCTGGGCGCTTGAAAACACCGCAAATAGCATGGAAGCGGAATTCCGGACGTACTTGAAAACCTCGCAAATAGCATTCCCGCCGCGGACACCCGGAGCTTGCATGTCGAAACCATCGCAAATAAACCATCGCAAATATCGCGGGACTCGAATTCCTCGAAACCCTTGCAAATGTCGTGGGACTCGAATTCCGGGGCCTCGAAAACCTCGCAAATATTGGGACTCGAATTCCTCGAAACCCTTGCAAATGTCGTGGGACTCGAATTCCGGGGCCTCGAAAACCTCGCAAATATCGTGGTTCCAAAACCATCGCAAATACCCTGGTCCCCGAATTCGCTGGTTCCAAAACCATCGCAAATACCATGGTCCCCGAATTCGCTGTTTCCAAAAGCATCGCAAATACCATGGTCCCCGAAATCGCTGTTTCCAAAACCATCGCAAAAACCATGGTCCCCGAATTCGCTGGTTCCAAAAACCATCGCGAAAACCATGGTCCCCGAATTCGCTGGTTCAAAAAGCATCGCAAGTATACCATGGTCCCCGAATTCGCTGGTTCCAAAACCATCGCAAATCAGACAAGTGCAGTGTACAAGTGACTATGCAACCATGTAAGTGCATACATTTGTCCAAGTGCATACACTTCGGCTGCAAAGAGTCAACTGCATGGAGTCAACGCACGGCAAATCGATGCTTTCGGGCCATCCCTCTCTAGTTAGGGTTTAGGGTTTAGTTTAGGGTTTAGGGTTTAGGGTTTAGGGTTTAGGGTTTAGGGTTTAGGGTTTAGGGTTTAGGGTTTAGGGTTTAGGGTTTAGGGTTTAGGGTTTAGGGTTCGTATGGGGGTGGCTCATGATGCTCCAGTTTGGAGTTTAGGGTTTAGGGTTTAGGGTCTCCATTGATAAGCCTCATTCAAGCAACCAAAAGGGGGTTTCGAGCCGAGTCTGTCAGAGCCAAGCAACAGAACTTGATCCGGGCACGAGCACGCTGAACATCAGCTCTGTTCTTCCGCAGTCCCCAGGAACCAAAGCAACTAAACCCTAGACCCTAAACCCCCTAAGCCCCCTAAGCCCCCTAAACCCCCTAAACCCCCTAAACCCCCCTAAACCCCCTAAACCCCCTAAGCCCCCTAAGCCCCCTAAACCCCCTAAACCCCCTAAACCCCCCTAAACCCCCTTAAACCCCCCTAAGCCCCCCTAAACCCCCCTAAACCCCCCTAAACCCCCCTAAACCCCCCAACCCCCCCCAAGACCCCCTCGACCTCCCTGAGCCGCCCCAAATTTTCCTCAACTCGAAAATCGTAAACCCCAAGCCGGAAGCATCCCGCAGCCCGCAGTAACCGTTTGGTCCCTGGCGGGTGCAAGAATTTTACCAGCAGCCTAAACCCTAAACCCTAAACCCTAAACCCTAAACCCTAAACCCTAAACCCCAAACAGGGCGCTGTTTGCACCCTATAATGGCTGAGCCGTTGGCATCCAAATGGCCTTTTTGAACAGTACGTGCTCGACAGCTGTGGCTTGAAGCTGCAAACCCGAAAAGCTAGAGGGGTTTAGGGTTTAGGGTTTAGGCCCCAAACCCCAAACCCCACTCACCCTTGCCCCAAACCCTAAGCCCAAACCCCAGCACTTAGACCCTAAGCCCTCAAGAGCCTGAGACCCCGCGGGCGTGCTACACCGCGAAGCCTCACTAGTATGAATATAGTTTGTGTTGCTGCAGTCCTTTTCTTCCTCTTCTTCTTCTTCTTGTACCAATTCGGAGAGCTTGTTTCCTTCCTAGGAAGGACATTGGGATATTTTGTATGGGTTGAAGAGAGGATCTTGCTGGGGAAGCTGCTTCGGGGGGTTTGAGGGACCAATTTCTTCATCAAACCCCAAGCTTTAAACCCCAAGCCCTACAAATCGGCTGGATTACCAGCAATAGCCCTGAGATATACTACCGGGCATCATCATCATCATCATCATCATCATAGTAATACCCTAGTACCCTAAACCCTAAACCCTAGCACCCGCATCAGTAAATAGCCACCCTTAACCCCAAGTGGCAGGTAAGTTGGGGCAAGCAACCCTGGGGGGTGAAGCGGTTGCGAGTGT